GTCGTCGTCGTCGTCGTCGCCGTCGTTGTCGTGGTCGTGGTCGTGGTCGTCGTCGTCGTCGTCGCAGCGTGGCTGACGCAGTCGCCGTCGCCGTCGTCGTCGCCGTCGTCGTCGTCGTCGTCGTCGGTGTCGTCCTCGTCGTCGTCGTCGTCGGCGTGGTCGTCGTCGTCGTCGTTGTCGTCCTGCTTGTCGTCGTTTTCGGCGTCGTCGTGGTCGCGTCGTCGCAGCGTGGCTGACGCAGTCGCCGTCGCCGTCGCCGCAGCCGTCGGTGTCGTTGTCGTCGTCGTCGTTGTCGTCGTTGTCGTCCTGCTTGTCGTCGTTGTCGGCGTCGTCGTGGTCGTGGTCGTCGTCGTCGTGGTTGTGGTCGTGGTCGTGGTCGTCGTTATCGCGGTCGTCATCGCCGCCGCCGCCGCCGTCGTCATCGTCCTGCCCGAGGTTGTAGCAATCTGCGGGTGTGAACAACTCCCTTGCGTGGCTCACTATCGGTCGGTTTTCCATGCTTTTGCAGCCTCGCTTCTACTGCTCTTGCTGCTCATCCCCCTCCTACTCCTCCTCGCCCCCCCCGTCCTCCCCTAATTTTTTCCCCCTATTCGTCAATCTTCTCCTTCTGACTGTTCAGCTCCTGCTGCTCCGCTCTGCAGCTCCTCTGGAGGCACCGCTGCCAGGAAGAAGATGACCCAAGATCAGATCCGCCGACCCTGTCGGCATGTGTGAGGCGCTTGTCCGTTCGAGTCGTCCTCTTCGTCACTCGTTAGTCTTAAATCGGGCGTGTCCCCGTACAAGCGGGTTTTGGACGAAACATAAAAATAGCCAGACAAATACGCGAAACATGATCGAACATACTCAAAACATCGTCCCCCATACTATTTTTGGACTATTTTTGAAGATTCCTCCTGTAGAGGGGCAGGCCCGACTTAACGTTAGTCCTTGTCTCTGCCAGCTCCTTTCTCTGTGGCCCCCATTTCCCTGGCCTCGTCGCCGCTCTCCCCTCCATATTCTTCCTGCTCCTCCTCCTCCTCCTCCTCCCTCCTCCTCCCTCCTCCTCTTCCTCCTCCTCCTCCTCCTCCTCCTGCGGGCGCTCCGTCCCCTCCCAAAGCGCGCCAACCAAAGCGAAATTGAGCACGCCTCGGTCCCGGGGGAGATGCGCCCCGGTCCCGGGGGGGTCGCCACCCAGACAAGCATCCCTCCCAGGTGGTCTCGGGTCCCACAAGAGCCCCAGGAGCCCCCTCCCTTTGATCCCTCACCCGTCGGGGGGGGGGTTTCCCGGGGGGGGGGGGGTCGGGGGAGATACGCCTCGGTCCCGCACTCAGATGCGTAGCCCTCCCGGGGGCTCCTGGGTTCCGAAAAAGACCCAGGACGGGCCAAGAGTGCCCGAAGAGGCCCCCAAGACGGTCCAAGAGGACCCTGCATCGCCGAACGATCTGTCCAAGACGCCTTCACGGCCTCCTGCACGCCTGTGGGGCCTGCAAAACGCCACGGTAGGCTTCCAAGAGCACTCCCAAGAAGGCCCCCAGAGGCAACCTTCATTAGTTTCCTGTAGGTTTTTGAAAGATTTTGGTGTTCTCGCCTCTTCTACGTCCCCACGCTCCAAGACAGCCCCAGAAGCCCCCAAGATCGCCCCAAGACGGCCGAGACGCCTCCAAGACAGGCCAAAGAGGCACCCAAGACGGCTCCAAGAGGGTGCCCTGACGGGGAACCCGAACCGACATCTCGAGCCCTCGCCCCCGAAAAGGCCGCAAGAGGCCTCCAAGACGCCCCGAGCAAGCCCCCTGGACGCCCCTGGAGGCCCCCAAGAGGCCCCCGAAGGGTCTTCCAAAACGCCCCCAAACCGCGCTCCAGAGACCCCTGAAAGCGCTCCGAAACGACCCCGACAAGCATCCCCTCCGCCCCCTGCTTCTGACCTTCCTCCTCCCCCTCTTCCTCCGCCTCGTCTTCCTCGTCCTCCACCTGCTCATTGCCCGTCTCGACCTCCTTCTGCCCCAACTGCCCCTCCTTATCCTCCTCCGCATGCTTTTCCTCCTCCTCCTGCTCTACGGCGTCCTCCTCCTCCTCCTCCTGTTCCTCCTGCTCTTCCTCCTGTTCCTCACCCTTTCCCTCCTCCTCATTCCCGTCCTTCGCGTCCTCCTCCTCATCAGCCTCATCCTCCTGATCATCCCTCCTCCTCATGCTCCCCCTCCTTCGTGTGCCCTTCTTCCGGTCCTCCGCAACCTTACCTCGACCTCGTCGTTCCTATCCTCCTCCTCCGCGTCCTCCTCTTTCTCCTGCTCCTCCGACTCCCATTCTCCTCGCCCTCCTGCTGCTCCTTCCTTCCCCGTCCCCCCCCTGCCCCTGCTCCCCCTCCTCATCCTCCTCCGCATCCTCCCCCTCCCCCTCCTGCTGCTCTACCGCGTCCTCCGTCTCCTCCTCCTGCTCCTCCTCCTCCTCGTCGTCCTCGTCGTCGTCGTCTTCGAGGTCGGCGGCACCGGCCGTAAAGCCTCCACGACATCCAAATCGGTGGACAATTTCCAGGGACGCATCCGGGTCAGCACCAGGGCCCTGTCGCGAAGCCCGGCTGGCCGCGTAGAAGCTCCCGACCCCGTGCCAGCGGATGGCGGATAAAAGGGAGTCGGCCCCACGTGGCTTCCAAGCACGGGTCAGCCAGCGGCGATTGGCTGACTCCTGGCAGCGATGACTCCCGTCATGTGAGCCTCGAAATATACAAGGTACTCAAGTCTCTGGACGCCTCCTAGGACCTCTAGGGCGGCCCGAACGTGTACATCCTCGGAGCGCACGACGCTCCGACGAGACCTACTGGGGCAGAACACGTGGATGCCACGCGTTGGATACATGCGGGGAGCGCTCGCGTGCTCGCTGAAGAACATCATGCTAAGTCTAGTATTAAGAACAAGCATGAGAAACATACGACGAATACTACAACTAAGCGTGATATTAACAACGCCAATACTAGTCATACTACTGACATGAACACTCATACAAGGACAAACGCTACTATTGCAATACAAGTGTTACTAATCATACTGGTGCTACGAATACTAAAGAGTCAGGAGATGAATACTCATACTTGTACGAGTAATGGTAATAACAAACAGTACGGCGAATAAGACTACTAAGACTAATCTTACAAACTTATACTACTAGGGAAGAAGATCCGCCACCGTGCCTTCAGCACGTAGTGGAGGGCCCCAAGGCTCTTGCAATTCTACAGCCGCAGGATTGCAAATTCTTGGGGGTCCGGGCCCCGAAATTCCTGGGCGCCTCTGGGCGCTCTCGGGTTGTTCCGCGTGGGCTTCCAGGACGGTCCCCTCGCCCACAAGATTCCCCAAACGGGCCACGCCAGCCCCAGGAGGCCGCCAAGACCGTCGAAGAGCGCCCAGCGTCGACGAAAGATCGCTCCAAGACGCCCAAGATAGCCTGCCTCCACACGCCTCAAGAAGCGTCCAAGAGCACTCCCAGGAGGGCTCCGAGAGGCAAAATTCATTGATTTCCCTTCGGTTTCAACATCATTTTGGCTTTCTCGCCTTTTCGGCTTCCTGACGCCCCAAGACAGACCACGAGGCCCCCCAAATCGCCCCAGGTCGGCACCAGAGGCTCCCGAGGGGGCCCCAAGACGGCCCAAAAGAGCCCCAAGACGGCCCAAGAGGACCCAAAGACGGCCCCGAGAGGGGGCCCAGATGGGGAACCCGAACGGACATTTCGAGCGCTCGGCCCCGAGGGGCTCCCAGGAGGCCCTCAGGAGGCCCCAAAGAGGCTCCCAAGAGGCCCCCAAGAGGTTCCCCCCAAACCTGTTCCCGAGAGGCCCCCGAGAGCGCTCCGAAGAGACCCGAAGAAGAATCCCATCGAACTCTGACCCACAACCCAGGCACGGTGGCGGGATGGGCCGAAGGCCATTCGATCCGCCGCCCCCTGCTTGCAGGGGTGCACGGCGTGCTGGATGAGCTGTTAGGTTTTGGTTTTGGTTCTTTTTCCAAAAGAACTCTCCAGTGGGCTCCGGCCCGTCCCGCCACCGTGCCCAAAAACGGCCGTTTCGCTCGGGACATCCTCAAAAAATCGCGAAGATGGCCCAAGATGGCCTCCAAGTCCGCCCGAGATGGTCCAAGACGGCCTCCAAAACGGCCCAAGAGAGTCCAAGACGGCCCAAGACGGCCCAAGAGGCCCCCCAGAGGCCTCCCAGACGGCCCAAGAGGCCTCCAAGAGGTCCTCCAGGAGAGTCCGAAGAGGGCAAAATCATTGATTTTCCCTTGGTTTTTGAAGGATTTTGGCATTTGCGCCTTTTCGGCTCTCCGACGGCTCAAGACGGCCCAAGAAGCCCCCAAGATGAGGGCCCCAAGACGGCCCAAGAGGCCTCCAACACGCCCAAGATGGCCTCCAAGACGCCCAAGATGGCCTCCAAGACGGCCCTGGAGCGCCCCAAGAGGGTCCCCCGTTGGCCCAGAAAGGCCCCCCAAACGGCTCCCGACGGCGTCAGACGTGCCAGGAACCCACCAAGATGGCCGAAGTTGGCTCGAAGCTGGCCCAAAAGGGCCCAAGAGGCCCCCAAGAGGGCCTCCAGGAAGGCCAAAAGATGCCAAAATCACTGATTTTCCCAAGGTTTTTGATGGATTTGGGCATTTCCCTTCTTTCGACCTTCCGACGGCCCGAGACGGCCCAAGAGCCCCCAAAGATCGCCGAAAGATCGCCCAAGAGGCCTCCAAGACGGCGACGATGACCATCAAGACGCCCACGTGTTCCCTGAAGGCTTTCCAAACCGATTCGGGGAACACATGGTCCGATGGCTTGGCAGGTCTGGCCTCAACGTTCGGCCACATAGGCGCTTCCACAAAGGCAGGGGGCGGCGGTGATTCGCCGTAGGCGTCTTCGATATGCAGAGTGCTGGGAAAGCGTGCGGCCACGTGTGCATCTAGCGAACCCAGGCCAGGACCCACACCGTGTCAATTTATGTGAGCACGTTTCCCGAGGTCAGCGCACTGGCGAGCAGCAGCTGTCCGTCCAGAAACAGATGTGGCCCTTCGCTCGCCCATACTTGCAGAGGATGTGGATCGGAGAGGGGCGAGGACGAACTCTGCAACAAAGGAAACATCTTCAACACGGCAACCCCCTTTTGACCTCCATGCCTTATCCACGACGGCCCAGGATCACTCGGAGGCCCCTGCAAAGGCTCCCGAGGGGCCCAAGAGAAGCTCCCAAGAGGCTTGCCATATGATTTCAACAAGAAACGCAACAACTGGGCAATGTTGCAGGGTTGCTACACAGGACAGTGCTACAACGTTTCTGCACAGCTTCTTCCCCACTGCAGTCGCGGAAACGCGTGACATCGCAATTCTTACCGACGTGGCCAATCAAAACGTAAACTGTGACACTGGGTTTGCCAGAGCTGGCGCCTCAAGCGAAATGGCAGCCGCAGCCGAAGGCAAACACCGGAAGCGCGAAACACCACAGCCAGACAACAATCTGCACTCTGCTGGCGTGAAGGGCTATGGCCGCAAAGATTTCTCCTGTGTCAGGATTATCTTCTCGTTGGTTTCCGGTCCCTAAGCCGAGCTTCCTCGATGCGTTCTCCAAGGCCCTAACTGTTTCTCCAGGCAAGCTCCCGCGGGCATCCATATCAAGCACCTCGTTTATGTACTTTGCAGAGGCCTTCTGCCCGATCATCTTGTCGATCTCCTCCAAGAGCGACAAATGGCCATGAGACAATATGCCATCTTTCACCCAATCAACGGTGATAGCTGCCCATTTCTCGTCGCGGACACCTAAATTGTGACGGAGGATGCGTAATACGCTTATGTAGCGACCCGCAGCCGGATCAATTTGCGTGCCATCATCAACAGATGCGGCTTTACCCAGCGCGTTCAACAGCACCCTGTCTGAGTGGAAGTCTAAGTCTGGAATCACTTCTTCCAAGCATGCTATAACGTTGACCCATTTATACTTGCGCGCTCTCTGGATGGCATCGTCCGAACTGTCCCAATTGAGATTGTCGCGGCAACTCCTCAAAAACATCTCAAGATTTATCTCAGTGCACCCGTGCGCCGGGATACGCGACTTCAGAATAGAACGTCCCAACGGGATCATGATGATCTTACTCACCGAAAAGAATATGGCTGCAACGATGAATGCCCCCCCACCGAAGAAGTACGCAAAGACTATGTGGAGAAGCGTATGGGGAGCCTCTCCCATAAGGGCACGCAGATATTTATCGGGCATCACTGCCATGATTGCCACCCCGTTGCAGTTGTATTGGATTCTTTCACGCTGGCCGTGACCTTGCAGACCAGGGCCAGGAGCGGGTGACTCTGGTATTGGCCAGTGCGACGCTCTGAGCGAGTCGAACACTGTGGGATCGGTGAAGTAGAAGAGTAAGGGGAAGAATGTTGCCGCAATGCTCATATAACCGAGCACGAGCCCGACCGTTCGCAACGCGTCATCATCCTGGCAGTGGGCGGCAGCGAAACAAAGTGCCTGAGCGATGTGGTCCTTCATGATATGCGGCTCGTTTCCGAGCCAGGGGGTCATCACCATGGCAAGCTTGGGTGCGGGATTCTCAAAGTCGTCACCTGCCTTCTTCAAGTACCAAGAGATGCCGGTGACCAGCGCCACCATGGCTACAGCTGCGACAAAAGGCACCCAGAGTTCCCAATCAATCCCGGTGGTGAGGTTCATGAAGCCGTTGGCCACCCCGTAGTCCATCAACACCCACAGCGAAACCTGGTATGCGATGTAGTACATAACGAAGGTGACTTTGTACCACCACAGCGCTCTGTGTGGTGATTGCCGCTGAGAAAGCCTCGCGTTGCTAACTAAAGGTGCGTTCAAATTATTGGAGTTACCGTCGAAACGCCTGCGCCCCTTGCATAGAAACCTGGCAATTTCCAGTATCATTGCGGTGACGACAAGAATGCCTCCCATCTCCACGCCAAAATACATCGTCCGCGAAAGTCGGTCGTCGATAGGCTGACCAATCTGTGGCAAGATCTGTATTGGCTTCAAGACTGGGAGAAACACGGACACGTACATCAGGTCACTTTCCAATGACTCGCTCGCACTGGTGTTTCTTGGTGGAAGGTAATACGCAGCTAATGAAGGTATCATTGGGCCCCAGCACTCAGAGGAGCAGGCTAGATCTTTCTCTGGGGCCCCCCAGAGCACGAAGCAGAAGGCCAAGCATATCATTGGGCTGAGCCATCGTGTGATCCGAAGCTTGGGCTTCATCTCGCGCACGTAGAACTTGACGCGATCATGCCGCGGGCTTGCAGAGTACCGCTCGCATGAAGGACATTGTGGGCCGTTGTGGATCCCACAGAAGCCGTCACTGCCAGGTAGATTGAACGCCCGCCCGCAGTAGTACAAATGACTTCCATCGTGATCCCCAATGCCTGGCCGCCATCCTCCCAACGACACCTCTACCCCATCGTCATTACGCGGGGCGATCAACCAATAACCGAAAACGTAAGCTGCCGCGAAGCACCCTATGATCGCTAATGTGCCAAGCTTGAACACGAGGTTCTCGCGCATGCTCGCACCGGATACCAAAAATGGAAATGAAAAAGAAACAATGCACAGCAATGGACAAATAGACAAGGGAATCTGATCTTTGAGCTTATCCTGTAGAGTCTTGCCTTCCTCTGCTGCGTCTTTGGACCGCAACATGCCGAAACAGGGGGCTGGTCTGCTAAGCTCAAATGCCACGTGCTCGAAATCAACACCTTGTCCGGCTTGAGCCGCAGCAGCGTACTTGATACCGGTATGCGTGCCTCTGAAGCACGCAAGCCTCAGTCAATTCAGCACTAGCGCAGAAGCCCCACAGTTGCGAATAAGACTGTGAAGTCCCAACCTGGGGACGGGACGGGCGAGGTGGGTGAACGAGCCCGCATCTGTCGCACCCCGTGACTCGAGGGGAACCGCCCGGGGCCCCAGCTCAGAGCAGCAAGGAGGGGGCAGCGCAGGTCACCAGCGCGAGGAAAACCTCTTCAATACCGAGACGCTCGGCAAGCAAGCCGCGAGCGGGCCGCGGGCGTGACGCGTGTGGGTCGCTCGCGAGTCGTGGGCACGGCTCGCGCGACGGCTCTGCACTTGGAGCGGACGAGCCCGCCGCGGGCGCGCTGACGAGCTGGTCGCGCGCGGGTGGCGGGCGCCGCCTGAGCTCCGTGCTCTTGCCGCTCGGACGAGGCCGCCGCGGGCGAAGTGCACGCAGGGCGGCAGAACGGATGGCCCACGGGCCGCAGCACGGGTCCTCGCGCAGGTCGCCCGGGCCGCTGGTGGGGGGCGGGACGGCTCCACATCCGTGCGGACGTGGAGCGAGCCGCGGACGAGCCGCGGGAGGAAGACGCGCAGCTCGTGGGTGCTGAAGCCGCTGCGGGGGTCTGAACCGGCCGGGACCCCAGAAAGTCGGTCAGGAGGGGGTGAGGCCACCTCCGCTCAAAATCGGTCCCTGGACCCCTCCGGGGGTCCGCCCTGTGTGCAGTTTTTCGCTCCGCAGCCGTTTCTGGCGGTCCCGGGGCCCGAGAACGACCCCAGGAGGCAGAAAGAGGCCAAAGAACCCTCCCGAACCCAGAACCTCGAACCGCTTCTCCCCCCCTTCCTGCTCGCTGGAACCAATGCTGGGCCACCTCAGGCCCACCAGCCGGCTCCAGTGGCCTGGCGTCTCTCGTCGTGTGGCGCTCTGCTCTGCCCCTCCTGGCGGCGAGCGAGGGGGGGGGGTGCCCTCTCTCGGGCGCGCTCGGACGTATGCAGGGCGGCCCTCCCTCCCTCCCTCCCTCATGCTCCCTCCTCAGTGGTTCAAAGATGGGGTCCTGAGTGATGGGGTCCCAAGGATAGGAAGGGGTCCAAGGGTGGATTTGCGTTGTTTGAGAAACCTCGTCCTGAGGACAGCATCCCTCGGGAGTCTCCATCTTTGAGCCACCAACCTCCTTCTTCCTCCCTTCCGCCGGCTCCAAGGTGGGCCGCCTGCATGTGCTGTGAGCTCGGGTGGCAGGGCCGCCTACAATCCTATTCGATAAGATTTGATTCGCCGACTGGGGCTGCGATTCCGATTCGATTCGATTCGGTTCGGTTCAACGGTATAGGCGGGGGCCAGCTGGAACCGGGTGCGGCGATCCGATTTCGATTCGATTCGGGGCGCTTTGTTGGCGATCCGATCACTCCTCCTCCTCCTCCTCCTCCTCCTCCTCCTCCTCCTCCTCCTCCTCCTCCTCCTCCTCCTCCTCCTCCTCCTCCTCCTCCTCCCCTCCTCCTCCTCCTCCTCCTCCTCTTTCCTCCTCCTCCTCCTCCTCCTCCTCCTCCTCCTCCTCCTCCTCCTCCTCCCGTAGCCATTTTGGCTCAAGCCATTTTGGCTCAAAGTTTTGGTTTCCCAGGGGAAACAAGTGGATACCGCTAGTCCGCGGCTAGACCTCAGTTTCTTTCATCGCACCGCTGCGTGAGTCGCCCCAGGCGACGCAGCATCCTGTGAGGCTCCTCTGGAGCAGGACGACGACCCCGCCTGGTCAGCCCCAGGATCGGGAACAGACGCTCCTGCAGCCACGGCGCCGAGGAGCTGGTGGCGCGATGCCGCGCCATGGCGTGCCGGCCCCAACTGGAAGTGCACGGAGTGCGGGTGCGGCAAGAACCTCGGGGCCTGGACATGGTGCAAGCACTGCCAAGCACCACGGCATGAGCCAGGCAACGCAGCACCGCCAGCGGCGCAGGGGCGCTGGGCTGACCGCCCTAGCATGGCTCCTGGCGGCGCTGGTGCAGCGGGCCCTGGCAGCCAAGATCACGACGGCTTCAACGTGGACAAGCTCGACCTCCCCGAGGTCAACGAGTTGTACACTGTCGCCACCAAGATGGGCAACACAAAGCTCCAGGAGCGCTGCAAGGCGAGGATCGACACGATCAACCGCCTGGCGGCAGGAGGACCCAAGAAGTCCCTGGAGCTGCAGCTGTTTGACATCTCCAACGCCGGCGACAAGCACGCCAAGAAGCTCGAGTCGGCCCTGGACAAGCTCGACAAATGGGAACGTGAGCTCGACGGCCAGAGGGACTGGGTCGCCCAGCTCAACGCCGAGCTCGAGGACTACAGCGTGCAGCACTCAAAGGTCCACGAGTTGCACAAAGCCAAGGCCCCCGAGCAGCCAGTGCTCGCCCTTGGCGCGCTGCTCGACGGCACCTGCAGCAGCATCAAGATCGACATGGGCACAGTATTCGACCTCGAGGAAGGAGACATCACGACCGAGGACTGAGAGGAAATCAGCAAACGTCAGCGAGCACTCGAGGAACACATCACAACCTGGACAAAGGACGTCTTCGCCAAGGCCGCTGAGCACGCGCTGTCCGTCAGGCAACAACACCAGGAATATGCACAGCGACTGGCCAAGAAGCGCAAAGGGGACAATGGCAAGGGCCCTCAGCCTCCAGCAGCGGCAGCAGCACCAGCAGACCCAGCCAGCCAGCCTTAGGCGAGCGCTGCTGGAGGCGCTGCAGCGGTGCCGCCCGCAGCGGAGCCGCCCAGAGGCACCTGCCCCTCCACCGATGCAGGGCGCGCTGAACTCCAGAGACGCACGAGCGAGACCCTGGCCAGGCGCAAGAAGGACAAGGTCAAGGAGAGCAACGACCAGGCCACTACCTCAGGCGCCCAGCCAGTGGCAGGGGCCCAATCCGCCTGAGCCAAGGGCATGCGGGGCGCCCGACCACAGCCCCGCACATCACGCTGGACCCAGAGGAGACGGACCAGCATGGAATACCAGATTCGTTGACGGCACATTTCCAAAGAGAAAAGGCACTCTCGGGGACACGATTCTCATCGAGACAGGGACCTGGGCGGCAGGCGACTCCGACCCAGAAACAGACACGGAGTTCAACGACAGGATGGACACCTGCGTTGGCATCTACGACATACAGCGAGGCTCTGCGAGGCGTGGGCTGGGGGAGCCGCCTGCAGAGGGGACGCGGGCCCTTGGCCCCCGAGCGGTCGCGGCGTACGCCGAGAACGACGTTGAGAGCATCGACCTGAGTGGCGCCCAGCTCACCGCGGACGCCGCCGACGGGCGGGTGGCCGATGCCGTCCACGGTTCGAGCCTAGAGGAGCTGCTCGGCGGGGCCATCGCTCATGGCCCCGCTTTCTGTGCCGAGGCTGCTGCACGAGAGGTTCAGGATCTCGCGCAGCCCTCGGTCAACGTGTCTCAGCAGAGCCGCCGCCTGCTGCGAGGTGGTGGGGAAGGCGCTGCTCCTGACCACAGCGGGAGGGGCGGCGTCGGGTGCGCGCGGGCTGCCGCGGACGCGCGGGTGGTCGACGCCTCCCGCAGCACCCAGCTCACCGCCGACGCCGCCGATGGGCGGGTGGCCGACGCCGTCCGCAGTTCGAGCACTGCCCCCCAGCATGGTCAGGGAGCCTTCCAAGGCGTGCTGCCGCCTGGTGGACGGCCCTATCTTCGAGGGCGCAGAGCAGACGACGCCCCCCACGCGCTGCTGCAGCCGGTACCTGGTCGTGGGTCCCAGCCCTCGCAGGCTAGGGAGGAGCGTGCACCCAGCCAGCGAGCCCAGGAGCAGCCTGGAGCGGAAGGCTTGGTGCCCTGCGGAGTGCAGGACCTTGTTGAGGGCTCGCTGGGGGTTGTGCGACCTGTGTCACAGCAGGCAGCACGAGTGTCCAGCGCCTCTCCTCTGCCAGTTGGGGGGGACTCGGGTGCAGCAGCCGCCTCAGACATCGACTTTCCCTTGGACGACGAGCCCGTCTGGTGCGGGACCGCAGATCACGAAGAGGCACCTCCACCTCGAGCCTACTCAGGAATCAAGCCACCGCTGGCCACGGTGGGGGAGAGGGGGAGGACGAGTACTCCCTGCGTCTCCCAGGGGGGGCGGCGGGGTGGAACCGGCGCTGTCGTGCCCACTCTGCGGAGGATGGTGGCGGGCGTGCCGACCGTCCCCACCCCGCACAAGGACGATCTGTCAGCGTCGCCTCGCGGCATTACTAGTGGCTCAGTCCGAGGCGGCGCGGGATCGGTCTCACGTACTTCTCTGGAGGCAGACACCAAGTTCAACGACAGGATGGACACCTGCGTTGGCAACGACATACACCAAGGCTCTGCAAGGCGAAGGTGGGAGCTACCGCCTGCAGAGGAGAAGCGGACCTCTGGCCTCCCAGAGGTCGCGGCTTCTGGCGACTACGACGTAGATGCCATCAACCCGAACGACAACATCGACCAAGACAGCCACGACATCCAGCACCCCATGGACGTTGCGGACCTCACCGTGAGCAACTCCCACGACGGCAGCGCCAGAGGATCAGGCCCACGATCAAACCAGTCCAAGCGTGGCAAAGAAGGGGCATCCAAGGCAGGAGTCAGAATCTACGGCGCCAGCTGTTCTACATGGAGCGCGGCCAGTACGCTGCTCGACGCCCTGTGCGGTGGCCAGGTCTGGGCTCTCCTTGGACAAGAACATCAGCTGAGCAACCAATGGGTACCCGCGATCCTCGCCTCCGCCAAGAAGCGAGGCATCACCCTGGCCATGACCAGGTCTGCCCCTGGGCCACACGGAGGGCCTAGCGCAGGGGTACATATTGCAGTGCCCTCAGCCATTGGCCTGGCGCCGCTGGCAGGGCACAAGGACTTCGACCACTCACCGCCTGGATCACCAGGACGTCTGTGCGTGGCCTGGGCACCCATTGGAGGCAAGGGAGGCATGATGCTCATCAGTGTGCACTTGTGGGTCTCTGAGGGCCTCACCATCAGGAACCTCAGCCTGCTAGGTCGGATCGCCGACATCATCCACCGCTCCAGCATCCCCTGGGTCCTCCAAGGCGACTTCAACATGCTACCGAATGAGCTGGCCAGCAGCAATTGGATTGACGACATCGGCGGAGTCCTACTGGCAAATGGGATCCCTGCCTGTCAGCATTCCACAGGGCATCGCGAGCTGGACTACTACGTAGTGGA